TTTCGATAAAGTTCAATACTGTGCATGTTGTTTGACGTTCCTAACAGAACCCAACATTATTCACTTCAGACGATAGCTATAGTGGTGACAGAATTCTTCAAGGTATGGCGCTAGGTATTATTGAGGACTACAACGAGGACCTGGTGACACATTTGAGAATTGAGGAAATTAAAGAAGCCATGTACAACATTAACCCAATTAAAGCCCTGAGGCCCGATGGTATGACTTCTGCTTTTTTTCACTCCTTTTGGGATATTATCTGTCATGATCTTTGTTCAGCAGTTAACAGTCTTTTTGCAACTGGGGCTATCCTTATAAGTGTTAATCATTCCCTTATTAATTACATTAATCCCCAAATGATCCAACCCCTCTATGGTGTCTCACGTTCGACCTATTAGTCTTTGCAATGTCACTAATAATGTTTTCTAAAAAATTTTGGCAAATAGACTGAAATTGTGCCTCCCTTTTTGCATCAGTGAAAACCAATCTGCTTTTTTTCTCAATAGACAGATCCTTGACAATGTGATTATTGCCAATGATGTCATTCATTACCTTAAATTTCATAGGTATGGTAAAACTTGCTATATGGCTATCAAGTTAGACATGTGCATGGTTTTTAATAGAGTGGAATGGGACAGTGCTAGATTGGTTATGTTGAAAACAAAAGTTAATGCTTTGTTTCTGAGATAGATTATGCAATGTAACTCCTCTACATCCTTCTCCTTCTCTTTTTCTGTGAATGGTGATTATACAAGTTATGTGAAGCCCTCTAGAGTTTAAAGATAGGGTGACCCCCTGTCACCCTATCTTTTTATCCTGATCTCAGAATTTTTTTCTCATCTGATCAGAACCGAGCAGGCAAAGGGTAACCTGCAAGGTATTAGAGTGAGCAAGCATTATCCTGTTATTACACACATATTTTTCGTTGATGACACAGTTTTGTTCGCTAAAGCAAACACACAACAAGCCTTATTAACACTGACCCAAATTCTCTCCCACTATCAGTAATTGACTGGTAAAAGAGTTAACCTCTCCAAATCATCCATTTACATCACTAAAAATACCCCCAAACCATACAAAACTACATTTGTAGCATTTTACTGGGTATCCAGCCTAATACATCCTCAAAATACCTCAGCCTATCCTTGGGTAATGGAAGATCCAAAAATGCTACCTTTTCTTATGTGAATGATTTAGCACGAAATAGGATGTCGAATTGGGCAAACAGGTTCCTTTCTAATGCAAGTAAAGAGGTGATGTTGAAGGATGTTCTGAGTGCTTTGCCAACGTACACAATGTCATGTTATCTCTTACCCAAGTCTTTGGTAGATCAGTTTTCTTCTCTCTTTCAAAATTCCTGGTGGCTAAACAAAAAGGACTGTTCCAAAGGCATACATTGGAAGAGCTGGAAACAGCTTACGCTGCTTAAGATTTGGCGGGCATTGGCTTCCATGATCTTCATGTTTTTAACAAGGCACTAATCTCGAAGCAGTCATGGAGGATAACATCACAACTCCATCTGTTGGTAAGTCGAGTTCTGAAGGGAGATTCTTTCCCTATTGCCACTCACAATCTACCAAGAAGAGACACAACAACTCCTGGGGTCAAATTTGTGGAAGGCCAGAGACTTTTTCCTCAAGAGCCACTGGTTCCAAGTCAATGATGGCAGATCAATAAACATTTGGGATCAACCATGGGTTCCCGACATCCCTGGATTCAAGTCCATAGGGATCTTACCAAGAAATGCAAAGCTAAAGAAGGTAAGTGACCTTTTGGATGAAACATGTAGGAACTGGAACAAGCAGCTTCTTGAGCTCTAGTTTAGGACAGAAGAATGTGCCATAATGCAAATCAAAGGCATGGATCCTCACATTCTAGATATTCTGATATGGAAATGGAGCTCAAAAGGCAAATTCTTTGTGGCTTCAACCTAATCAAAGCTTATAGAAGACCATTGGAGACACAGTGTCATAGCAGGGCAAGTTACAATCAGACTGAGATCAAAAGGTCAAGGAGAAGAACTTGGGCACTGAAAGTGAAAGGGAAACTGCGACATTTTTATCTGGAAATGTATTAACAACATCCTACTAATTCTGGCTAATCTACATTCTAAAGGAGTTGTTCTTGACACCTTGTGGGGAAGCCGAGGAAACCCAGGAGCATTTATTCTTTTCCAGTTGTCGAGCTAAGCTAATCCGGAAATTATCACCAATATCTTTTGAAGGATTCAACCAGAAATTACCGCCTTCAAACACTGGTGGTCCAAGCTTTGCACCATTAGCCACTCCCCATATTGTAGAGAATAGAGTGCATCTCACCTGCTATTTTCTCTGGTGGATGTGGAAGAAGAGAAATCTATGGCTGTTTGAGAGCACTTGGAGATCAGAAGTCCATATCGTCAGTTTAGCTCCTAAAGAATGGTTCGATTTTTCCCTTTTATTGGTTCGTAGTATTTCTTAGCAGTTGAGTTTCTATGGTTAGGGTTAATTGCTAAATAAACCATAACATTTTTGCGTTTGGCAATTTTATCTCAATCTTTAGGTAATTGCAATATAATCTCGACCTCAATTTACTAATTGCAATCCCAATCTCGGACCTTCAAAAAACTGGTCGATTTGAAGGTGGTTCAAACAGATCGGAGCTCATTTATACCGGTTCACTCCAGATCTAGGAGGAGACTCATCACCGGTAACTTACATCGACGTGGAATTTTCGGCTTTGTGTGTGGATATACATTAAATACGTGGAAATTGTCAATTTGCTACGTTGATGGCATAAAAACTCGTGTCAATTGAAGACATGAACACAAAATCGATCCACAAATCCCGAAAATCAATCACTCGGCACCTAAATTTACATTAAGTAAATTGAGGTCGAGATTATATTGCAATTACCCAAAGATTGGGATAAAATTGTCAAACGCAAGAAGGTTAAGATTTATTTAGCAATTAACCCCTATGGTTATTATGTTTTCTATTTCTTTGTTTAGTTGGCACTGAGCTTTCTACTTTTGTTAGTTTGATAAGTCCTATTGGGAGTGCAATGGCAAACTAATTTTGTTGTTAGTGTTTTCTGGTGGCTGAAGTTTGGCATAACTCTCGATTTCAAAGGCAAGTCTTTGCCGAGAACTACATCTCTCATGTTAGCTTATTTAGGAGCAGTGGCTCCTCTATTTGTATGGCCTTGTGATAAAAAATAAAAATTAGGCCAAGGGAAAAGAACCAATTTAGTCCAAATTATATTTCAACAATTTGGTATTAGGTAATATTCAAGGACCAACACCTAGAGATCGTGTGCGAAGAAGCTTTGTAAGTTGAGAATTCCGAAAGCAATAATTCATCTTGATCACAAAAATCAAATCTAGGTAGCAAGCAGTATTAGTTTGATTCAAACATGTACAAAACACACACACACAACCAACACACACACACAACAAAAAAAAAAAATAATAAATAAATAAATAAAAATAAAAATCCAACACCACTTGCAACCTACATATCAGGTTATCCTATGAATCGAGTGAAGGATGGATGGTATAGGTACACGCAAACTGAAGTGTTTACGTGGTACAATATGGGTACCATATTGGGGAAATTCTTTGACAACTAGCTAGGCATACCAGTGCCCATAGATAAGCTCCTTACAGCAACCTTAACAGCCCCGACGACACTAAGTTGTCTAGCCTCTGGTCTCAACCCGTCTGCCTCCCCGTTACTACATTCATCTTCTTTCTGAATCCCAACAAAGAATGCCACCTGAAAGATTTTTTCATTTAATTAGTGGAGATGCGCAAAAGAGGAGAGTTGGTTAATAGAATAATCTGAAAACAGTAATTATAATTTCAAGATTCACAACAAGAAACGAGGTTCATATACCAATATAATGGCTCTTAATATTTACACCTCAAGTTAGACAACCACCAAATAAAGAAACAAGGGCAGAGTATTACCAAATATGAATACTGCTGGGATACAAGTATGGTACGCATATAGAAAATTACACAATCACCTAACTTGTTTACCCATTATTCTTATACAATATAACCATATAACTTGTCATAATATATATGTCCTCCTATCTTTTTATTTGTCATATTAGCTTGATCATCAATCAAATAAATAACATTTTGGATCTTTTATACATATTTATCCATTGTTATCCTTATTTAATTAATAAACTACACGTTTTGTTTGGGATAAGTTTTCTCTCTTAAAAAAACATAAAATAAAAAAAACTTAAAACAAAGAAATTAAGTAATGTTAATTTTCTTTAAATAAGGCTAACATTGACAAGAAAAAAATCTTAATTTATGTGTTAAAGCATAGAACAACATTTAAAAAGAATAGGAGGGAATATTATACATTTAGTTATTTTAGGTAACTTGTAAGCATAATATATATGAATTACAGTTATTATATTCAGAGTATGTTGACTGTATATTACTATCACATAGCAGTATATTTATAATATAAATTATCATTATAGATTAACAAATACTCAATTGCCCAAAGATTCTCTCAATGTTTGTTGTGTATTGTACCTTACCTAACTGGTATGAGGATAGGGTCTTGGAAAAGAATACCTGAACTCATAGTAATTTTTTTTTTTTTTTTTCCACACAAGTTTAACGGTTTAAAGCCTTTAAGGAATTCTAGAGAAACAACATAGCAGTTTGTTATCCAAGTCTAAACAGTGAAAGTATCACAAACGCATGAACACGACTTAATCCAATATTCGAACAGGACCTTAGACATATCATATGACTACCGTACAACAAACAAAACACAAAACGTTAGAAGATGGAAATGATTAATCAGTTGAAACAAAAAAA